GATACATTTCTCTATAAGATAGAAATGCGTTGCGCAAAACACATGAAGGATAAGTGTCGCAAGCTTTAACCCTAGAAGGAAGATAGCGTAAGTAACTTTCACTCATACTGAGAAAGCCTTGACTTTTGAAAGATAGAGATAACCTACCTAGATAGGCAGGTGTATGTAAATTTGGCAGTATTCCTACATTTTTACTTTATTTTACTTTATTTTCAGTCGATTTGTAAGGGTTATGTTTATCTTACGAATGGTTCATATCATATAAAATGATCAAGTGGAAATACGAAAAGAATAATCCAAATTTGCCCAAAACAATAATGTCGTGTAAAATGCAACATGAAAATCTGAGTGTAGCTTTTAGCTACAGTATACTTGCCTCACAAGCGTATTAAAAAGAAATTGTGAAGAGTTTCCATCATTGTCTCACGTTGAGAAAAATCTATCTGGCGATTGAGATAAAGATGTGTAATTTTTACTCATTCAAGCAATATCGCAAAAACAACAGCGATATTCACATCGGCGGATGATGAAGTAAACGCTACAGGCGGAGCTCAAGACTTTCAATATCAGTACAAGTTACTCACGTTACTCACGTTTCGCAAGGTTCATCATCTGACTGTACGCGTACGAACAAACACAATCGCACCGACAACATGCGGGATCACGTAATCGTTACATACATCGGGGTTGATAAAGGCCGGGGCCGAATTAACGCCGCTTCGAAAATGCCGCTCGCGAAAACGATCCCGTCGGGAACGAAAGAATCTTCACAAGAGAGCTAATTACGCGCGGAATTAATACGCGCTGTTGAATTCTAAATGAATATCCGGCGCGCACGCCGGCCGTTGTATAACGTGGATCATAACAACGCCGCAACAGTTGGCAATTTGGGCCGTCTCTTTGCTGGATGCATTATCGAATTCTTCGGGTTATAAATAAATTTTAATTCTCGCGATCGCGAGATCCATAATACGTTATATTTGCCGGCCTGTCCGAGTTGTCTCTCTTCCGTGAATTAACTCGTCCTGCGCGGACGTAATGTGATAAAAAGAAAAATGGACTGTATAAAAAGTCATGATATAAACCGCACACACGACGAGATATGCCGAGTCAAAATTTACCGGGCTGCACGTTAATCCTGCGAGTTCTGCTTTCGGATTTGAAGGACCGAGAAGAGGATCGGGGAATATAACGCTATGCAAGCTATTGTTCTTTGATGCTGCAAACGGTTAGATGCTTTTGGTGCTTACAGAGATTTCTTCATAAGCCTCAGTATAGAGGAGACTGCAATCTCTACTAGCCTGGTGCAACAGATTGTTGCTTTTCTTTTGAATCATTGAAAGAACTTTCAATATTGAGAGGAAAATAAGAAGTCTTCGTTAGATGACATTGCTTCGTTAGTCTAAAAAATTACCGAGACAATGTTGTTCATTTACTCGCAGAAATGATTAATCCTCCAAAGTTGGATAATTCTGCCTTCAGTTTCACTTGACAAACGCGACAAGCCTTTCGCATCAACTTAAACACAATGCTCCAAATGTAACTTGTATTGCTCTACCGTTTTTATGATTTGTAACTCGCATTCTTGTTGAATTTCGCGTTTAGCTTCACTTCCTTCTCAGTATTCTCACTTGTACATAAAGAGTGGAACAATAGACTGCGCAGTGTTACATCTCAGGATCCACCACTGATCCTTCAGTGATGGGCGGGCTGATATCTGCAGGGTTAATGCAGAACCAAAATGTTGACCCAGGATCCGCCGAGCTCATCAGCCCTCATTAGACTCTTCGATCCACTCGATCTTGCCACTCTGAAAACGTCGACGAAGCCGGCAACGTCTAAATTACCCGCGATTTGCGACAAGAAGCTTTCCGGTCAGCAGGCTTTTCGCAGCTTCTTCTTTTCGCCTTCCCCAAACCTCATTAAAAATTTCCTCCATTAAGTTCAGATTTAATCGGAGCGAATACGCTCGTCAATCGACCATCACTCACGGAGTCGGTACGAAGGTCGAAAGCTCGCGACTAAAAACGGTCGTCCTCATCGTCCTCGTCTTTCCCAAAGTGACTGGTAGAGCTCCCGAAAACGAAAGACGACGGCAGCGGTCCCGCGATACACGGCCGACACACTGAGGAACCAAAATTGTTGATCTAATTGGAATCAAGGCGAATTTACATCTTGACAGAAGAGCCGAAAACAGAAAGGCAAAAGCCATTAGAATTCGCGCTGGTGATCATACTGAGAGAAAAATATAGTTGTTTTTGGCGTCAACTACATTTTTTTGTAATTTTAACCATAAAAATAGTTAGGAAAACCATTGTTTTGGTAAGTGTTATTAGAAAGATGGTTCTTCTAATTACTTTTCTGGTTAAAATCACAAAAAAGTATAGCAGACGCCAAAAGCAACTATATTTTTCTCTTAGTGCAGATGATAGTCGATAATTTTTATATTTTCATCAGCACGAGTTTTGATTGGCTTCTACTTCTGTGTTTTCGGTTCTTTTTTGTGAATTCAGTCCTATGATTATTTTTAATCGCAACCCTATTTTTTGCAACAAAATGGTAGTGGTAATATGCGGTGATAATATGAGGTTATTATCAATATTATAGCAGAACTTAATGAAAAAGAAAATTCTCTTGACCGTAATTGATAGTAATTATTTCTCCATGTTACTATAGTTACAAATACCAAATATTTTTTCTGCAGCGACGGCGAGGCAGGCTTGGGCGCGTTCTCGCGTTGCTCACGGATTGCTCCGTTCGTTCACGAGCTCATCCGTTAGTTCGTTAGTCCGCTCGTTCGGATCCTTACATGCGAAATCCGGAATAACGATCAATGAACGGCACGAGAGCGCGCGCGAGGGTTCGGCTCGCGCGGCGAGCCTGGCACCGGGGGGGGAGGAGGGGGGATGAGGGTGGCGGTGTCGGCAGCGGCGAAGGTTGGCCGCGCGGCATTCAACGGGGCTAACTCTATCCCGGCAAATTACATTTCCATCCCGCTACGTGATAGGTGCAGCAAACATGCCCGTCAACGTCCGACCGAGTTTCTCGCTGATTAGTTACACTCGACGTGGATTATATTTCCGAAGCAATTAATTAACCAAGTTCCGCCGGGTCGCGCGTGTCCCCGTGCCTTTCGCACGCGCGTACACGCACGACGTCTCGTCACCGTGGACCGTCGTAGTCGTCGTAGTCGTCGTCGTCGTCGTCGTCGTCGTCGACGCGTTGCGCTGCCACAATCGCGAGTGAGAGGCCGTAGGCGGGGTAACAGAAAAGGGGATAACGGGGGGGG